CTTGTCCTTAATATATAATAAATTGTATATCAAATACCTTAAAAATACAGACCATGTCATACAACTTCCCCTCAAGGGAAAAAATGTGATAATATTTTATAATAATCAAAACTTTATATTAATATAATTTAACGTTTAGCGATTTAAAAATAACAGTAAATAACATTTTACACTTAATTTTTACATTTTTAAAGAAAAGCTTTAGTATAATTTGATATGAATACTTTTATCTGTACAAACTGCCATGTACCTGAAATTAGCACAAGGTTTTGGCAGCTTGAGTTTATATGATTCTTAAGAAGAGATTATTGTAAGGTTTGACTTGCATGTTGTTCAGTAAAACCCTTGAACATCTTACAGAGTTTACAAAATGTAGCTGTCTGGATTTTAACTGGAAATACATTATAATACTGGAAATACATAACAATACTGCATTACAACAATGTAATTCCTGTATTGGCTGCCAGTAAATTCTTTTTAAATTCTTACTTTACTTGACATTAATGGTCCTGCACTTGATACCATCAAGTATCTACTGTAATGCAAATCTCATACTTCTGATTCTGGTCACTGATGTGTACTCAAAACTCTTTTGTTGTAACACAGATATATAACAAAATGTTAATACCCTTTCACAGATATATAACAAAATGTTATTTTTTATGTATGTGTGTTATATAGATATCTTGCATATGTAGAATTTTAAGAACTACACATCAGTTATGAAAAGAATTATATTGAAACTGGGAGCAGGCACCTACACTTTTTGGTTTTGCTTTCAAACAATAAAAAGACTAGATAAAACAACATGAATGCTCTCATTCCTGACTTCTTTTAATACAACATTTAATATTTAAAGTGAATAGCTTCTAAAAACACTCTACCAACTGGATCTTCAGCAAGATTGAGCAAATGTAAATGTTTCACTTTTGAAATCAATGTTCTCAGCATGGATAATTATGCTGCAGGAGCAGCTCAGTGTTTTGAATGGTGTTCATGAGTAAATCATCAAATCCTGACTGTATCAGTCAGAGAGTAAAGGATTTACAGTTGTGCCTTGAAGTTATCCCATTTTTTAGAAAACTTGTGTCTGAAATCATTGACCATTCACTCAGACCAAGAGGGATGAATGCAATGCTGTGACATACAGATGCAGACATTCAAATTGCACACTAAAAGCCCATACTGTGCGAAATTATCTGCAGGTTAGCATAGAATACCATAGTATGTGATTGGCTGGCCAAAAAGACCGACAGGAGGCACTCGTGCATTGGTTGTTAGTGAAACAATTGTTTCATTTAATCTCTTTACTGTGCATGTTTAATTCCACTTAATATTGAATATTTAATATCTAATTTTACAACTAAAGTTAAATTTTGGTAGCTGAGCATAAAAAGAAAAGGAGCATAATGTGTCTGAAGGTCATAAACGATATTAATTTAGAAATATAAACATATTATGTAAGCTGTATATGGCTGGTATTGGTAGTTTAAATAATGAATACACACCAGTATTCCAATCTTCATAAACATTTTAAGTATCAAAGTCTTTCATTTTATGTGCTCCTTCTGACTATATTAAGTTTATATATTATTAAAAAAGTTTTAACCTTCTTAAACATCTGTAAAAATGATTCTCCTGCGACTTCTTAGAAACATTTTGCCTGCCTTTTTCAGCAAGAGTTTAAATTGTCAAGCAGTGCGTTGGTGTAATGGCTTTGGTGTGTGACCCACATGCTGGAGGTCGGGGGTTTTATTTTTTTTACAATAACAACAAGTGGTGTTCTTATCATGTATTCTTAGAAAAAGATAAAATGTTATAACTGTTAAGTACAGTATATAAGCTTTATCATGTTAGATAAAGTTAGATAACTTACCCAATGTAAGTTACCAAGTTAAAGACTTTGATGCATAAAATATTTATGCTTAATTTAAATATTAACAGTATGAAGAAGGTGGAAGGTGGTGTACTTTTGTTCAACTAAGCAATCTTGCTTTTATAAAATATACCTACTTTGTAATCAGTTTAATGTTTAACATGCTGTAATACACAGTTAAAAATTATTAAAAGTCTGAACAGTATACAATTTAAATTCTGTAATTTCTCAGCTAAGCCCATCTCCAGGTGGTATTACAAGGTATTGCGGTACTTTGCAGTTCATTGCGGATCATCCACCGCGTTTTAGCACAGCATAGATTATGCATTTTGAATGGCTGGATCTGTACAGTAACATGTTAAGTAGGAAATATCAGTGAAGTACACACATGCCAAGCAGTTTTAATTAATCACATGGTGATCTTGTACTATATTGTTATCTGTAGTTTCCAATACCGAATGTGGAGGTAAAATAGAAACACATTTACAGTTGTATACATATACCCTTAAATGTGGTAGAATTTTTTAGCATATTATAATAAATAAGATCATAGACAGACAGAAACGTTTTAAAATTATACACATTTTAAATGCCTGTGACTACTAGTTTGCCGATAGCAGTCTGCATAACCAGTTAGATAAGTTATTTTCAATAACAATTATGTTTATAAAATGCTGTAAGTAATCTTGAACGTAGCAGTAGCAGTTTACTGTTAACTAGCACATGATAGAGAGGCTTACCTGTAGCACTTCTTCACTGTCATTTGCCTTCTTTATTGGAGTTACTTTAGGCGCTGGTGGACATTTCATTTGCTTCTTTTTTGCTTTCTCCATTTGTGTATTTGTGAAGTAGTTCACAGCAGCAAACTCAATGAGAGCAGAGAACACAAAGGCAAAGCATACCGCTATGAACCAATCCATTGCTGTGGCATATGAAACTTTTGGTAAAGAATGCCTTGCACTTATGCTTAATGTTGTCATTGTCAGAACAGTTGTTATCCCTAAAGTAGGGGAAAAAAAGATGTCATTTTCTTACAATAAAGGACTTATTAATTAAATTAATTTCAATATAACTGGCAGATCAGATCTAGGTCAACATAAGAAAAATACAAAGAGCATTTTAAAATTCAGTTGAAGATTATTTTGTGCTTTATTTGGAAAACCTGAAAACCTGAAAGAGATGTTAGTTCTGTAAATAGAACATATGACATTGAACAAAACTGTTCTTTGAGAAAACCTGGCATAAACAGAATACTAGGATACTAGGACTACTATGTTGTTTCATCATACATATTTTGTAGACTATATAGACTGGGGTCCCTTTTGTTGTGCAGAATTGGCATTTATCACACACAAATCAAATTGTAAGGTATACATTGCATCATTATCAGCTGATTATCACACAAATATTGCAGTATGCTGTTAGACTCAAACATATTGCAGGCTCTTATGGCTCTCTAAAAATATTTTACAGGAAACATATCAGCAAACTAGCTGGAATCTGGTGACAACATTTATGGGATGAAAGTGACAGGCAAAGAACAACCAGGGGAACTACAGAAATAACATCTGTGACCTATATATAGTAAGTGTATTAATTAAACCTGTAAATTTATGTTATTTATAAATGTACTCATTTAAAATTTTCACATTTAAAAGCAATACAATGATTCACAAAATCACAAAATACTTTTTTCTGACCAATTTATAATGCCAAAGATAATAATGAGTGTCTGGTGTGGGGGGCGGAGCCCCAGATTAAGGGAGACATGTTGCTGTGGAAATCACACCTGATGTGAATAAGTGAATGAATGGGAGGTGTAGAAGTAGTTTAAAACTACCCTGAATACTTCCTGGAAAAGAAGGGGAAAGATCCAGCAGGACCTTGGTCTTGCTGTCACTGCAGTGGTGAGAGGAGAAATGTGGAGGCTCTGCTGTGAGAGAGCCGGGCTGAAGTATGACAGTAGCAGGTGTGAGATGCTACTAGTCAGGGCGATGTTAGAAGCGTGACGCCATGTATGAATGAACAAAGAATGATTAGCCGCTGTAGAAACCCCATGAGAGGGTGGAGAAGCACTACAATTCCGGAGGGAATTGTGAGAGGAATAGCCTGTGAGGAAAAGAGTGAGAACGTCGGTCTGCAAGGAGACTGACAGAAGAAATGGGGCTTTATGAGATCGTCCAAATATTTAAAGGGACAGCATCCTGATAGGGTGTGAGAGCAGGGCTGTTGTGTATTAGTGTGTGTGGACAAGAGTGGGTTGTTTGGTAGACGGACCCTGCCCCTGGCAATACATTGGTATCACAGAAGAGCCTGACCATGCCCAATGCGGTGTCAACTACCCCCATGGCACCACAGTACATAAATGGATAGTCTAAAAAAATCTTTATTTAGCCAAATGTTTGTTACTATAAATTTCAAAAAATCTACTACAGTATATGTTAAAGTAAATATGTAAATCTAGGTTAATGTTAGAAACAATTGTGTGCAAATAATATAGACAAATAAAATGACTTTATAAGGGTGCTTAAACCTGGGTGAAGGAACTGTAAGTTCTTGTAAGGAACTGTATTGAAGTTTGGTGTAACAAATCTTTGTCTCCAAAACACAGTTCTCTGAATTGAGTAAACAACATGGCACCACATATTCAGGCCTCCAAAAATGGCATTTAAATTTATAATCTGCATAATCTTGTGTGACATATCACAACAGAAAAGTTTTATCTCTGCTAAATGTCAGAAAATCCAGATCCTTAAAGAAAAGGCTAATACAATAGAGAACAAACAAAAGGTACTCATAGGACTCCAAGAGATGAATGAACTAACAAAACGAACACTCAATGTGGTGTGCACCCTCAGAGAAACAATTTAGAGACAAAGTGAAAGAAGCAGGTCCCAGGTGACAAAGAAAATAATCTTTGCAAAAAATCCTAAAGAGTATTGTCAAAATACATTGCCAAAAACAAATTCCCCACTCCAGGACTAGGAGGTGTCCTGGAGGGACATGAAGGCCAGTACATCTATGAGAGAACAGTTTGCTGTCTCCCTGGAACTTTATGAATTTTATTAATCTTATGGACAAATAATATTAATAAAGTCAACAGATTCCTTTTGTAGCTTGTGCAGGTAATTGTCAGGATGCGTTCTTTCCGGGCCCTATGCAGACGACACAATCCGTGGTAAAGTGAGAAAACACTGGGAAAAAAGCATGCAGGATACGGGAATGAGAACAGGGGGAGCGTGTCCATGGAGTGCTGGTGGTCGGGGGAGGTGTGGCCAAGGCAAACGATCCAGGGATGAGTCAAACGGGAAATACAAAAAGTCCAAGGGCAGGAGATCCATCCAAGAACGATGATTAAAATCCAGAACCAGGTCAGGACCGGCAGGGGGAACGGGAACGGGAACAAGAACAGAAGCTAAAACCATAACGGAGCCAGGTGCATCCAGGTCCCGGGCTCGCATGATGCAGAAACCAATGCAGAGCCCGGATTAGCGTCTGCGCCTGGCTTTTAAGGGGGAACTGAAAAGGGTCTGGAACAGGGAACAGGTGCGGGAGATGAAACTAACAAGGTAGGGCTGGAGAGCCCTTAAGAGGAGGGGTTGAGATCGTGACAGTAATGGCGCAGTTGTTGATCTCCATTTAGACACAAATGAAATTGGAATAAACAGCACAATTTACATCCAGAATAAATTCATACAACCTGGCAATGAACTGGAGAACAGCACTAAATAAATTGTTTACTTATACTTAGGAATCTTACCAGCAATGAAGCAAGGTGAACATGTAAGATTATAAATGATCAATGCAACACATGGAGATGGACATGCTATACAAAAGAAGGCCTCATCTTTGAGAAACTAGAGAAAATCAAGAAGGAGGTCACATGGCGGACAAAGACCAAGGAGCAACAAAGGTAAAAACACAACAAATGATCAGGTAATTAAGTGTTTATACCTAAATGCTAGGAGTATCTGAAACAAATTAAATGAGATAAAAGCTACTACACGGCATGGTGCCATGAAGGTTAGCATTGCTGCCCTGCAGCACTGAAGTCCTAGTTTCATGGAAACCTACTAATCCTAAAGTGAATGAGACTCTAAAGTTAAATTTATTGGAAGGCACTCTGTTTTATTATCAGACACTACAACTCAAACTTGTGTCATAGAGAGATATAGACGTGGGTAATGCCACCCTAATTAAACAATATGCTTATTGCGTAAATCCTGCTGAACTAGTGGTGTTGCAGAAGGAGGTACTGTAGATTATTTGCTGGAGAAAGGTTTAGTTCAAAGAAGTAATAGTCTGTGGAGATCCCCTTGTTTATTGATACCAAAACTTGATGGGACATTATGGTTATGTACAGATTACAAAAAAGTGAACACTGAAACTCCACTAGACATCATAAGTATTGTACAACCATAATCAAGGACTGATGCGCTGTTTTCTTATATTATAGAGCTAATCCCTGGAAATTAGATACAAGAAGGCCATAAAATTTGTATTTAAAATTAAATGCTTTATACGCATACTCAATTGTGATTTCTGTTTAAAGACATCTTTGTTTCTGAGGCACCTCGAGATTTTTGGTATGTTGGTCAGGGGGTTCATTCATGTTATTACTTAATATTCATAATATTGTGAATATAGTTTACAAATTATTTTATTGTTAGAGAGTGCTTATTATGTCCACAGAACAGTTTGTTAAAAGACTCAGGTCAGAGCTGGAACGAAACCCAGACCCTTTTGCATGATAGTAGAAGCCTACCACTGAGCCACCAAGAGCATGCATACACAGATTTTGAAATTATTATTAATTATAAAGTGACTGATGTTTTTCTGGAATAAAGAAGTCCTGAAATACTTATAAAATGATGAAGCCAAAAAGTCAGCTGGGAGAGGTAAATTGGGTTGCAATTAAGTGGTCAACAGCATGAGGTGATAGGTGAGTCTGGGGAAAAAATTGATATTTCCTTATTTCACCCTGGATTAACACTGTACTTGCTTCTTTGCAGGCAACACACATAAGATGGAAGTTAAATTTGGTCATTTATCTGATAATACATTTTATGAAAAAATATATGCATATTTTTTACTGTGGATGATAACCACTTTTATTCAGTGTTGTATGGAAGCAAATACAAGACATTTTATAGTCCAATAAATAATTTAGTAAAAAACAAATAATTAGATTTCTGATTTAATACTTGATACACTGTGTGACTACAATTAAGCAGCATTTAATCACTATACTCTTTCAATTGTACATACAGTACCATCTAAATAGCACAGATAGAATAAATCAGAACTGAATCGTAATTGGCCATATGGAAGGAACACTGAAAGCTCCATCTAAATCACATGTAATCTAAACATTACACAATGAAATAATAATCAATAAGTTATGAATTGTAACAAAATAAATAAATGTGTACATTTTTAAACTTAATAAATTGTTTACACTTATAAGTGTATAGCGATATGTTATAAATCAAACACAAACTTTTTGGATATTTGGAAAAAACGCTAACACTAGGGTAGAGCAGTGACACTAAGGATCTGCACCTTTGGCTGGAAGGTTGCCGGTTCAAATCCCATAGCCAGCCAAAGAATCCTATTCTGGTGGGCCCCTGAGCAAGGCCCTCAACCCCAGCTGCTCCAGGGGTGCCATATAAATGGCTGACCCCTGTGCTCTGACCCCAAGCTTCTTTCTCCCCATATGAAAAGACAAATTCCTAATGCAAGAAATTGTATATTGTTAATAAAGTTATCTTAAAAGGGCCACCTCAGAATCTTTATTCTCAACAGAAATCTCAGGACAAATGGCATACTATTATATAGGGGATTTTGAACAGGAATTGAATGCAGTATTATACTGTATTTCATTGGTTATCAAGAAAGAAGTGGAAAGAATTGCAAAACCTTCAAATGTTTCAAATGGTCTTTTAAGACGCCAAAGAATATGAGCATGGAAATGTATCAAAAACTACTGTCAAGTTAAGC